CAAAAAATAATAGAAAAACTTTTAATGCAATTGCATTTATTAATGTTAATGATTCGATAAAGATCTACAAAAAATTATAATTACTTTTTAATATTAATGATTAATAATAATAATTTATAAAAATCTCCTAATTAAAATTAAATAATGTAAAAAATTCATTTTCTACAAGAATATGAGAGTTAAATAATATTTTAAACTAATATATTAGACTAATATATTAGATTTAAACCAATATATTAGATAATATATGACAGATATGTGCTCTATTTGTTCAGTCATTACAATATTATTGAGATTACAATTTTAATAATGGCATATTTGCCAAAATCGTGATATTTTATTGAGGATTTGATTATAATAACTATTTTACGAGTAAAAGACAAAAAAATTTAATTTTTCTTTACGATAAATGCAATGACCTTAAATACTTGATATACTTCAAAAAATCTAAAAGAAATCTAAGGAAACAAAATCTCATGACATCAGATTTTTAGCTATAATGATTCTATGATATCAAAGAAAATTTTATGACAAAAAAAAAATAAATAATTGATTCTTCGCGTGACTACTGTGATGATCTAGTTCCATGCTTTTAAAAAAATTTTGATAGATCTATTATAAAGAAACAAAATCTTATTATCAAATTTTTTAGTACATTGATGATCTCATGATATAAAAGACAAAAAAGATAATTTGGAAGTCATGAGATAAAGTTTAACGCATTTAGATAAATCTTGATAGACTTATGAGTCTAATAACAGAATTTAATATAAATACAATTAAAATAATAATTAAAGAAAGAAAATATATAGTTTCCATGCATTTAGCAAAATGTTTATAGAGTTCCAAGTTTCGGTAAAAAATGATCTACCATATGAAACTTGCTATGACGCGCGTGAATGTATCACGCAACCCAGAAATAGAGACTCTCTGAGTAATGCCGAATGATTACTTGCGATCAGACGTCATGTTGCTATTTTTTTAATAGACATCACTATACATGCAAGTTCTAGGCATTTTTTGTCATTGTAGGGATATTTCTCGTTAATGAATAGTATTTGCAATGATTTTTCTCGCCAGTGACTTATGAACGACGCAAAGACTGATAAAACTATGATATTTTTTATCGCGGAGTGTTTGCAATTATAGAGAAAAATGTACAGGGTAACGATTATTAGAATATATCGCTTTTGTAAGAGAAAAATACGTTTGTATCTCATTGACTTACGATTATTTGGAATAAAATGCTGCCATTTGAAAAGGAACCATCACCTTTACTTAATTGTCCTTTTATTTAATTGTCTCATCGTTCAATTATTCGTTAACATGTCTTTTATCAATTTATTATGCTATCCAGTATTAAAATTCTGCATCCAATTACCGATTAATAATAATAAACAAAAAATCTGATCTTTTTAATATTACATAATTGGGGAATATTAAATATTTAAGCAGATATTAATACATATTATTTCAATTTCTCATGTTAAAAGTCTACACGTAGCATTTATCGTTTAAACGAAGAGTATGTGCCAAGTCATATCCGGCGACACAACTGGAAGTTTAAATC